AGCAGTTAGATTTTTGTCATAAATCATTTCGGCACCATTTTTTGATTCAATATCATGGAGGATTTTAGCTATGAAGAATTTGCAGAATATAACGCTTCTGAAGCGGTTCGCTTTTACTCCAACCGCTTTCCAAATAGAATTTGCATATTTNCCCCTATTAATTTTCATCGGAGAATCGCCCCTTGAATTTTTTCGGTGTTATTTAGATACACCCTGTATTATACAGAAACAAAGTTGCTTTTTCTGTATCGGAACACCCTGTATATTACTCCATATTTCAATTCTCGAACATTTAAACCAAAATTCATATAGCACATCATGTACCTAAACTTAACTGTTTTCGAGATATCGAAGTTTGAAAATCATTTTCTCATAAATTATTATACAAAAATATTTTAGTCCATCAAGATACTTTTGAAAGTTTTTAGTTCTATAACAGCTCTGCGTCGTTCTTTTGTCTAATAGTAATTATCTTGGCAACGCATGTCAAAATGGTATTCGTGATAATGTTCAGTTCCAAGTTTAAACCTATATTCGATCTACCTGGATTATACAGGAGCAGACGAAATTACCCATTTAAATTTATACATCTCTGACACCGTTGCCAAATTTGTAATTTTTCTTTCACAGTTCGATTTCTCTCTCTCTTTGCTAAAAAAAAGTTAAACTACGTATCAGTCGATATCTTGTACCGTTTTTGAGAAAATCGAATTTTATTAACAACATACATGTATCAAAAATGTGATACCTATTAACATTTTTACAAAAATCTTGGAAATTGAAATGACTATCAACAAGTATGTATAATTAGCAGTTAGATTTTTGTCATAAATCATTTCGGCACCATTTTTTGATTCAATATCATGGAGGATTTTAGCTATGAAGAATTTGCAGAATATAACGCTTCTGAAGCGGTTCGCTTTTACTCCAACCGCTTTCCAAATAGAATTTGCATATTTGAAGTGACGAAAATACCCATGCATGCAAGATTTTTACAAAAATGTTAGCGTCACATTTTTGATACAATAAATGTATGTTAATAAAATTCGATTTTCTCAAAAACGGTACAAGATATCGACTGATAAACGGTATACCTTTTTTTTAGCAAAGTAGGCGAGGAATCGAACTATGAAAGAAAAATGTCAAATATGGCAACACTGTCAAAGATGTATAAATTTAAATGGACAATATCCGTTTAATCTTGGAAAGGAACATTACCATTACTTTAATTGTCCAAATTGGCGGTTTTTTGTAGAAATAATTTTATTTCTGGAAAAAATATGAAACTAAATAATGAAAAAACATTATCAAATAGGTCGGGTAAGTAATTAAGTAATTAAGCCCTACAACAAAGGTTCGAAACGAAATCCTTCAGCATCGATACACTTTTGACATCTTCTAATCAGGCTATTTATAGAAAAACTTATCATGGCACGATTTTCTCTGAGGAGATTACAATTTTCCTCTATTTTTTGCCACAATTCGTCTCGTATTCATAAGCCCAAGATGGACTGCAGCTTCAGGAATAAATAAACAAAGCTAGTTATAATACGAGATCATCGTAAAGCTTACCAACTGATAATGCAGACAAAATAATCAATTTTTGCAGATGTATGTGGACTAAATTTGCGCGTTATAGTCGACAAATAAATCTCCTAAACGGCTGCTCCTATTAAAAAACACCAAAGAAACACTTAACTTATATGTAACATTTGCAGAAGAAAGTTAAATGCAGCAAAACCTGCAGATAAGTGAAAAGCTGATAATGCATTTTGTCCCGTTTCGCTGTCGATTAAAATAATATATCCTTTAGTTAATTCTGGATGGGAAATTTCGAACATTTGTATGACTGATGTAAACGCTAAACCACGGTAATAAGAGCACTATGAAAACCACAGTAATAATGAATAAGGATTTGATACATCAGTTGGCTAAAGTTACCTGAAGGAACAACTTAAAATAATGGTTCTGCATTCCTGATTGTCTATTTACTTTTATAAACGGTATAAAACAGATCTATTTTTATTCCAATTTCCAATACATCTTTTTAATACAGTGCAGCTAAAATAAAACGTAAAAGTAAAAATAAAATGTAGAAATGTAGAAAAGTGAAAATTCTTTTTCATCCTTAAAATTCAATCAATATTCACAGAATTACTAAGGTATGTTAATATTTACTTTGTTGTCTTCTATTAAATATACTGATCAAATGTTTCTGATTTCAATCAGTTCTGTACAATCAAATTATCAAATTGTATTTACATTTTGAGTACCTTACCTATTATAACATTTTGATAATCGCTAGTTTCTCACACAAATGTCGGCTGAAGTAATAGAGTGAAGATAACACCGCCCCCACTTTAGTGATTTTATCCATAAGAGTAAATAAGAGGATTATTGAATAGGGCGAGTGGAGCATGCATTCACTGAGGCTATCTCACGTTGGTGCAGCAAAACATTGACCTTTATAGAAATTGTTAAAACAGAAATCTACAACCACAGACCGAATCTGTATTTCCAATCTTTCAATCAACAGAAACAGAATGCGTTGACTGAAATATTTCAATCAACGTAGAATGTTCAAGGTTATAAGTTATAGTTTATCTTCAGGACTTCAGGTAGTTTGCCGAGTTTTATGCTTTAATAAATTTGTTTTGTTTTAGATTAATAACGAGCGTTCAAATAAAAACGTGATCGAAGTTGGCTCTGACACATTGGACGTAGGGAGTAACTTATAGCGACCAACTTAACCTCATTTCTCAACGAGCTGTATAGCAGCTGTCAGTTTCAATAACGTTAATGACTATATAACTTTATTTTAAAGAATAATCGTGATAACAATAACAAACAATTAAAGGAGCTGCGGAAAGTGTCCCCCTCCTTGTTATAACAATAAATTAAAGCAGCTGCTGAAAGTGTCCCCCTCCTTGTTCCAAGCACTTTTCACACCTGTTCCTCAAAGAATTAAAGACATTTTCTAAGATGCTCGGGGTATTGTTAATTTCACGAATCTTGTCTATAAGTCGAGCCTGCAGATGGTTTAAATCAGGAATAGGCAGTTCAAAAATAGTGTTTTTAAGGTAAGGCCACAAAAAGAAATCACACGGCGTAATATCACATGACCTCGGTGGAAATTCATGTTCAGCATTGAGACTTATTAGTCGATTTTGGAAAACTTCCCTCAACATATTCATCGTCTCGCCTGCCGTATGTGCCCTTGCGCCATCTTGTTGAAAGTAAAAGTTTGTAATTTCGTTTTCTTCCAGCTGGTTAACAAAAGGAGCGATAATTTCTTCTCTATACCTTTGCGCAGTAAGAGTACCATTAAAAAAAATAGGTCCATAAATCCTCCTTCGATTGAGAGCACACCAAACTCCAATTTTTTGAGCGTGTAGAGGGCCCTCGACAAAAAAGTTATCTGGTTTTTCAGAAGACCACATTCTCATATTCTGTGAGTTTACGTAACCACTTAAATGAAACCAGGCTTCATCAGAAAAAAAGGTGATATTATGAAGTTCACCGTAGTTGTTTAAAAACCATTCACAAAATACAGCCCGTCGCGGAAAATCAACTTCATGAAGTTCTTGCTGACAAGTTAAACGATAGGAGAACAAACGCAAATCTTTTTTTAACACTGTGTGGCAGGTACCGACTGATACTCCCACCATTTGTGATAAAACACGTACAGAAGTTCTTGGCGCATTTTCCATTATTTGTTGGACATTTTCTTTTAATTCTTCAGTCCGCTTTTTAGGTCGGCCGCTTCCTTCTTTTCTTGTTACACTGCCCGTTTCACGAAAAACATTAACACAACGCTGAACTGCACTTTGAAAAATTTTGTACTCAACAACGCCGGGAAATTGATTTTGAAATTCTATGAAACATTCCTCAATAGAATACTTCCATATTCCATCAATCTTGCGTCCATTTCTAAAGTAGGACTCTATGATAAACACTTTTTGTTCTTGAGAAAACACCATTTTAAACGCTTTTTAAAACGAAAATATTCAAATTGATAGCGGCGATATAGCGCTTTGACAGATGACGTTTAAGTTCATTTGCTATACGCTACGCCCTACGTCCAAATTTTCAGAACCAACTTGACCATGTTTTTATTTGAATGCGTTATAATAAGAGATTTATTCTGAACTGCCTAACTGGTTTTTATTCGTTTTTTTTTTCCAAAATCAATGAATGTTTTGCTCCAAATTGCAAAAACATTTCTTACTATATGAATATCTATAAAACGTTCTATAGAAATAAAAGTTTTTTCAGAATTACAAAAGACAGACAATTATTGTGGATAGGATCGGTTTGAAAATTATGTAAATCAGAATTTACTCCGACAAACACATCATTATTTTTCTGAAGACCATTTTGAGTAAAAATTTTTAAAAAAACACTATAGGAAGTGCTGTGCCAACATTATTTTTAGGATTAACTACAAGTTCACCTATTAATTGTAATAATACCACCTCGCGGAATCCTCGGATAGTATCCAACATTCAGCAAAACAATTTGTTAACGTAACATTACAGAATTTTCATGGTACGAGCTGCCGAACTTCAATTTTACTATATTTAGAACTTAAAATAATACTAACAAAGTACAATAGGGAATAGTGATAGTAGGATGTTTCTTTGCACTTGTAACCCTGTTCCCCCTACACAAATTACGAAGAATCAAATGAAAATTATAAATTACATAGGACGCAGGGTTAATTTTAAATGTGTACATATAAAAATTAAAGAGGTCAAAAAAATAAATGCAACAAATAAACATTTATTTAATTATAGAAAATAAAGGTGGTTTGCAATGCATATTTATTTTGTTCCTATTTTTTTTTATGCAGAAGTTGTTTAAAATACACATATACATATGCTTTCATTTTTGACTGGCGCTTCAACGAGCCTTCACCCCCACAAATGTTTTTTGTAGGTGCGAAGTACATGCATGCTCATACACTCGTGAAGGCTCTCTGTGCTTCGACATGTAATATTTTATACCACTCCTGCATTTGGATTTGCACTTTCTCTATGTGTCAGTTGGTGCCCTTTCATACAACTCTTGTATTTAGTTTTGTAATCGCAATCGTGGCACCTGTACATTTGAACCTGTGACGAATCTTTATGTTTCAATTGGTGTTGTTTGATATTCTTCTTGTATTTAGTTTTGTAATCGCAGTCATTACACCTGTACATCTGAACCTGAGAAGGATTTTTATGCTTCAGTTGATGCTGTTTGATAGCACCCTTGTATTTAGTTTTGTAATCACAGTCATTACACCTGTACATTTGAACCTGCGAAAGATCTTTGTGTTTCAGTTGGTGATTTTTCATGTGAAACTTGTATCTAGTTTCGTAATCGCAGCCGCTACACCTGTACGTTTGAACCTGCGAAGGATCTTTGTGTTTCAGTTGGTGATTTTTCATATGACCCTTGTATTTAGTTTTGTAATCGCAGTCATTACACCTGTACATTTTGACCTGTGACAAATCTTTGTGTTTCAATTGGTGTTGTTTGATATTCCTCTTGTATTTAGTTTTGTAATCGCAGTCGTTACACCTGTACATCTGAACCTGAGAAGGATCTTCATGCTTCAGTTGATGCCATTTGATATAACTCTTATATTTAGTTTCGTAATCGCAGACGTTACACCTGTACGTTTGAACCTGCGAAGGATCTTTGTGTTTCAGTTGGTGGTTTTTCATATGACCCTTGTATTTAGTTTTGTAATCGCAGTCATTACACCTGTACGTTTGAACCTGCGAAGGATCTTTGTGTACCAACTGATGTCTGGTAAAGTTTCTCTTATCCTTTGATTCGTATGTGCAATCATCACATTTATAAACGGGCAGTTGTGAAGTGTCCTTATTCGGTAATGCGGTACATTTGGTTTTATAGTCATATTCTACAGGATTGTTTGAGTTTTTTTGTTTTGTATAATGACTATTAAAACTGACTTTCCGCTTTGTTGTGAAATCACAAAAGTCGCACTTGTACAATCGTCCTTCAGATGCGCTTTTGTGTTTCACCTGATGCTTAGCAAGCTCACACCTGTGTTTTGTCTTGTAATCATATGATCCGCATCGGTGCATACGCATTTCCAAAGGATCTTTATGGCTCAATCCATGTTCCTGAAAATTTTTTTTATTTTCTGTTTCGGACTCACACGATTCACATTTATATGCTTCCGAACCGTTCTCGTGTCTCGCACGGTGTGCTATAAAACTGCTCTCGCTTCCAATTTTGCAAATACATTTATCACATTTGTAAAATACTTTGTCATTCTGCTTGTCCCTCGTATTACATTCGTTTGTCGATCTATTCTCATGTTTACATCCATCCTCTTCTGCATCTCTAAGGACCCTCTTCTCGAATGATTCACTAACGGAGCTATGCAGTAGCGAGTCCCTGAAAAAATTACATGTACAGGGTATTTTCCCAAGTGCGGTGTTAATTCTAAGGGGGTCATGGGTTATTGCAAATGCAATTACGCAAGTTTCTGAACTCCACAAGACATTATTTCAGTTTTATTATCATATAAATCGAATTCTTCATGACAATTAGTAATATTTTTATAGAAGATGTGTTAAAAATAATTAATTATGCGGAAACCCTCAGAAATACAGGAAATTAATGCAAGAGAGGCAAAATTAAATAAGATCTGGAGTTATACAATTACTTTGTGAAATTTTTGTTAAAATAGTCTTCTCTTACCTTCTTTCCTCATCTTCCGATTTTATGTCGATACTTTCAGCTTTGATTGACATTTCCGTCCCGTCAATATCGAATTCTATGTCCTGGTTTTCAGTCTTAAGGAATAAATCAGATGGTGACGTATCTATCCGACTCTCTGTTGCTGCGCTATTAAAAATACCCCCAATTTTTTTCTGTACTTCCAAGCAATTTTTTAGGAAACTGTTGTGGGTGCACACAGAATCAAAACATTCCTTACACACAACGGGATCTTTGATGATATTTATATTCTGCAAAGTAGTTTCATTAAATTGTGAAAAATGTAACTATTTAATAACATTGATACCATTTCAGGAGCCAATTTCTCGATGGCTTCAAGTTCCTCTTCACAAATGCACCTAAACTCACTTTCTACTGGGTGCATACACAATCGACATATTCTCTGACCATCTGAAATATCCATTGACTCGACGGTCTTTTCCTTCGTATACGCATCTCTTATATCAAGCTGCAACATTTTTTCACAATCCACATACGGAATAATTGTGTAATCGGTCTTCAGACAAGTTGACTTAAATTGGAATGCTGCGTTTAACTTTCTTCTGCAAACGTTACATATAACCTCTTTGCCTTCGCTATCCAATTTCTGAAAAATAGGCAACTTTAACCAAAGAAAAAGAAAATTATTGGCAGAAAATATCAATTATTTGGAGGTGGAGGTGTCCGAATTGAGATATACAGCGCATCCCAGAAGTAACGCAAAAATTTTAATTTGTGTTGCGTTTTCACAAAAACGCTAAAATACGTCAATTAGTATATAAGAATTGTCATTATGTCACGTTGCTTAAACCTCCTTTGCGCAATGTTTCATGAACGTATGACGTCATCGACATTGTTTTTAAATAGCACTACCTAATTTTTTAGGCATAAAAGGATAGCCCTGTTGAAAGGAAATGCGTCGATATAGGGTTTGTTCTACTTGACTTTAACAGGCGCGAAAAAAAACAGACAAATGTATTAATAAATTTAATGTAAAGAATGTAAATAAATTAACAGTCGGGCAATGGCGAGTTGATGTTCGAATTCATCCGTGGTATTTTGAATTGCCTCTGGTGGTACCTGACTAATTTCTTCTCTTATGCGTCTACCAACTCTGCTTTTTAAATAGCCCCACAAGAAATGATCTAGGGGAGTTAAATCGGGCGAACGTGGTGGCCACTCAATGGTCCTCTTCGACCTATCCACCTACCTGGAAAAATTTCATGCAAGTAATTCCTCCCGGCAAATACTGTCTGCTGGAACATCATTATCCACGTGATTTTTCGCATCTGTCAAAGTGAAGTAGGCCAAACCCGATATCGAAGGATTTCCCTTCAAAAGGGCTGTCCTTTCATGCCCAAAAAAATAGGTAGTGCTATTTAAAAAATAACTTCGATGACGTCATAGGTTTATGAAACATAGCGCAAACAAGGTTTAAGTAACGTGCCAAAACGACAATTCCTATACAGGGTGTTTGTAAGAAAGTGCGAAATATTTTAGGGGGTGGTTGCCGAAGTTATTTTGTAAAAAAAAGTTCATATAAGCGTAGGTCGAAATATGTATCGTTTCCGAGATACAGTGTTTAAATTTAAATATAAATAAAATATGAATATTTTGCGTATATATACAGGGTGTCCGCAAATTTCACCGACAACGTTTGACCTACGAAGAAAAATTAAATAAAAAATTTTTGATTTTAGTTACAGGCCTTCAAAGTTGTCGAGAATAAAACTAATTTAATTTACTTTTACCGATCGCGTTAAAATTTGGCACATTTATTTGGACCATTGTGGCGTATTATTTCTTAAACTTTTAGTCGAATCGATATACTGGGTGATACTTTTCTCCGGTTACTTCCCCCTTTTAGCGGTCAAAACGTTTACAGTAGTCGTATTTTTTTTTAAACGGGCAGCAACAATAAAAAGGTTGTTTTATTAAAAAAATTGTCTCTTGAGAAAATCGCCTAGAGAAAGCCTTTCTTGAGAAAAATGGAATTATTTGCAGGTCTGTATGTTTCGGTTTGCGTCACGGATTTAAAACTTTTGAGTTTAGTAGGCGGTGAAAACCGTTTCATTGCTGCTAAAATATTTTTGTATAATTCATAAGAAAATGATTTTCAAAGTTCGATGCCTTGAAAACGGTTAAGTTTGGGTACATGATGTGCTATATGAATTTTGTTTAGAATTACGATAATTAAAATATGGAATAATATACAGGGTACTATGTTTAGACATAACTTTTTCACTGATCCTATATACTTAACTTTTCTTTATTGCAATAGAATTAAAAATACAATAAAACATTCGTGTCTTATGATTTTTCCATAGCTCTTTAGGAGACAACCGACCGTTTCCATACATATCAGCGACCCCGAACTAATGCATATCTATCAGTGACTTACCAATTTCAGCAAAAGAACATCCAAAGTATCTCTAATAACGTTGTCTATTACCTCAAAACCTTTAACGGTTACAGTTTTGAGGCAAAGCTTGCACGAAGTTTCTTGAACACCAGTCATTGCAACAATTTTCTTTGAAATGTAAATGTCGAACTGCAACTTGTGTTGGTTGTTTAACCTCAATGAAAATATCGAATAAAGTTATTGTTCTTCTTCCTCTTCTGGTGTCGGAACAACAAGAATGGTACAATCTAGGGATGCGCCATGTTCACCGATGTATCTTAAACATCGATACTTTGCTTACGATATTCGATATTTACATCGATTTTATTTGTTTCGATGTTATAAGACAGCATCGATAGTTTTTTACGATGTTTTATTCGATGTTTGTGGCCTATTTCAAAGCTTCTTTATACTAATTCGTCATTATCGTTGTCCATTATTTCGTGACTCCATCTAGTGAGCATTAGCAGAACTAGAAAATCTCTAATGAAACTAAACTGTAATACTTCAGTCGCGCGCCATTATTCTATGGCTAGAAATTGGCCTCAATGATTTGGGATCGAGGGGGATTATCCCTCTTTATCCTGCCTCATCTCGTGTAGGCCTGGACAGCCTTCGTAGGTGGGCCCCATCCGTCGTCTACCCCGACCGCAAATGCGGCCGGTGTAGGCGCTTTGTGGGACCTCCTTTTGTCCTGGCTGGGCCCCGCCGGCTAGGGCCCTTTCTTCTGGCGCTCTTCTTGCTTCGCCGGCTCGTCTGTGTAAACCCCGGGGGTAGTGTCATGTTTATGTGTGGTATGGTTGGGTAGGGTAGTGCGGCTATGCAGCCTGGGATGCGCTTTGCTAAGGTGGCCCTTAGGCTAGCGCGGGAGGGGAGGGTTAAGGAGGGTATGGGGCTGTGTATGTGTGTGTGTGTGTGTGTGTCGTTGTCTTCGTTTCTTGATCCTGGCTGTCTCTGAAACAGAAAAGGTTAGCGGGCAGGGGGGGGGTCATTGGGGTGGTCACCCAGGGTCAAAAAGTTGGTGTCTAGGTCTTTTGTGTTTGTCGGTCACGTCGGGTACGTAGTCAACGGCTTGCCTGAGGAGGGGATTGTCATGTCTAGCGGCTACGTCAAATCGTTTCTCCGCGTTTTGTCTTATTGTCTGTGTAGCGTTTGTGTATTGTAAGTCTCGTAATATGTCAGTGTTTCTTACGTACCAGGGCGCGTCGGTGGCCGTGCGGAGGGCTATGTTTTCCACAGCCTGTAATGACTTACTTCAGTCAACGTATGCATCATGGAGACTGCCGAAATTACTCAGTATCTTCAATGTCCTATCAGAAATTTCACAGAAAATCCAATGGAGTCTCCCAGGAAAATCCGTTGCAACTCTGGAAGGAGATGAAATGTATATTTCCTACTTTATCCACCAAAATATCTTAGCATGGTAGCGACATCAGTTCCCTCCGAAAGACTTTTCTCAAAGGCAGGGCAAGTGTTAACCCAGCAAAGAATAAACTTAAAGGGTCAAAATTATTATTTTTTTCAAAATTGTTCCCAATATATTTTTTTAATGAACGAATTTTAGTTATGTAAGCATTACATCCATATGCGCATGCGTCTGACTGTTGGAAACTGTTTTGGATTCTACTAGGAACAAAGCTTATATTTAATATTACATTTTCATAGAAAATATCGATGTTTAAGAAAATCGATGTATTTGATCCGATATTTTTAACACATCGATATTTGAATTTCGATGTATCAAATGATGTCGACATCGATGTTTTAGATACATCGCGCATCCCTAGTACAATCTCATCTGTTGCACTCGACTACGGATTACTGGGAATAAGTGAAGTAACAATTTTTCGTGTACACATCACTAATCCGGTTCGTGCAGTTGGTTTACATCTGAAAAACCTATTTTTTTGTGTTCTTGAATTCGCTTTGCAAATAATTACGGTTAAATTGTCTGTATTAGGTGTAGTTTTCAATTTACTTGAAACTCAGTAGTAACTGTATAAAGTATTTTGCACAGGGATGGGCGGGTAGACAATGTCGACGTAGACAATGCAATTGTCTACGCGTAGACAATGATCTAGATGAAGACTTAATTTGGAAGAGTCGACAATGTAGACAATGTCGACAATGTCAACAATTAAGAAACTCTCAAAACTAGAAAAAGGTGTGGTTTTATTTTAAACGAAATACCCTGTATATTATTTAAATTTTGAAAAATAATCTGCTGTCAGAAAAAATAAATGAATGGAAATGTAATTTTCTTAGGTATGTGATGTCGACTATTTTAAACACCCTGTATATTATTCAAATTTTGAAAAGAGAACCCTTTTCTCATTTAAACAATTCTAAGTAGGCAGCTGTCAAATGAATGTAACATTTGTCTAAGTTATTTCAAATTTTAGACACTAATGACATCTAGTATTAAAGACAGTTGCTGTCGATATTTAAATTGTTTTAATTATTGGTAAAAATGAGGGTACACTTGTAGTAAGTATATGGGGTACACGCACTGAAAATAAATGTGAAATACTGCATCTGTATTAGGTTAGGAATATTATATTAATAATAACGCTGGATCAAGTACTAAAGCAAGATATAAAGCATAATATTGTTGATAACTGTTTTAACAAAAATTTCACTATTTGAAACGTAAAATACCTAAACAATTAGACCAATGTTGTATTGATCGACAGTTACTTAGAATTACCTAAACGTACCTATTGTATTAAATCGTGAAATGTTGAAAGTAACTATATACAAAGTGTGTATTTTTTAAATCCGAAAAGTGCCTTTTACATTTTGCATAATATACTGTTGTTCCATTTAAAATAATCGGCAGTGTTTCACAAAAATTTAACATTTCTG